TCTCCGTCTGCTGTTCTTGTGAATTTGAACAGTACTAGGGCTGAGGCTGATGACGTTTCACGAGCACATGAGAACGCAAAAGTACACAGATTGAGAAACAGCCAGTGTCTTTTCTCCAATTAAAACAGATTAAAGGTTTTATTTTTCTGAAATAGTTTGAGCAATAAAATATAAATTAGTTTACTACCACTTGGGCATGCATACTGTTTTCAAAAACATTGTCAAAGAGCAGGTTACTCTAAGGAGCTTAGTGAATTCCAGCATGGAACTTTGATAGCACCGTATTTTCGCGACTATAAGGCGCATATAAACGTCTTTTTTTCCCCTCAAAATGTGCGGCGCGCCCTATAGTGCGGTGCGCCCTATGTGTGTTGTTACTGCGGACGTTGTTGAGACCACCATGACAACGTTAAAGGGGGAAGTGTGGGCGTGGATTGTTTAAAAAGAACAGGTATGTGCTTTATGCCGAACATTGTTATTAAGGCAAATGAAAAGGGCTGGATGGATGAGGAGATGGTGAAAGAGTGGCTGAGGGAGGTGTATATAAGGAAGGGGTTTCAGGGGGTGTCCTGGGGGTTCAGGACTCTGGTAGTCTATCAGGGTTGTGGGTCCTGGTTGGATCTCTGTAGCAGAGGTCGGGTGTCTGACTGGGATGTAGGCCTGGAGCGGGGGTATCTTGGGGGGCCTTGTTGCGGTGGCTCTAGCCCTGGGCTAGGTGGCCGGTCTCCTCAGACATGGGTTGGGGTCTGGGCCCTGGGGTCTGGGTTCTGCCTCTCAATCCCGGGGGAGGTTCCCCCCTACCTTCTTCCCCCCTGTGGCCCTATGGCTTCCTGGGGGCCCTCTGATGTGTCCAGGTCGAGGGCACCCTGGCTCTCATGGCTTGTGCTCTCGGCCTGTGTCTGGGGTTGGTGCCCGGTTGGTCTCCCTGGGATTTTTTACTTCAGTGGCTGCTGTGGGACCGGGTCTAGGGGCGCTCTTTGCCTTCTTCTGAGCACTGGGGAGGGGGACTTCGGCTGGTGGCCCCTCTGCATCCTAACTGAGCACAATCTGGAAAATCAGGGCAGCGGGTTCTCATTCTTTCACACACGCACACACAGTCAGTTACTCTGACATGCAGCTCCGTAAGCTTCTGTACAGCTGCTGCATAATCCTGAGAAGCTCACTGTCATCACCGCTACTGGTTGCTGTTGCTCTTGTTGCTTGTTTGTCCTTTTCATTTCCCTGTGCCCTTTTGAAGGAGCTCCTATAGGCTGTCCAGTTGGATTGCCCACAAGAAACTGTTTCTTTTTTTTTAAACATAGTAGCTGATTTTATGGTTTTGTTGTCTTTTTTCTCTTTCTCTCTTTTTCTTTACAAATGAATAATTTCTTTCCTTTCCACTGCTTTTCTTTCTTCTGTATCTCTGTCCGGTTTGGCATTATTGGTCACGTTTAAATTTGAATAGATGAAGTAGTTTTGGGTAATCACAGGGTGCTTCTCAACAACAAAGCATCCCTTGGCAAAGCAAATTTGTTGAATATAGCATGGTACTCAGATTTCAGTTCTCCTGCCATAATACTGAACAGACCAAAAATAAATAAATAAATACAATTCTGCCACGCTTATCCCTGCTGGGATCGTGACGGGTGCTTGTGCATATCTGCAGCTGTCAATGGGCGAGAGGCGGGGCACACCCTTGAAAACACAGAGACACAGGACTAACAACCATTCAAGCACACAAGACCTAAGGAGAATTTAGAAAAGCCAATTAACCTAACAATCATGTTTTGGACTATGGGAGGAAGCCAGAGTACCTGTAGAGAACTCACGCGTTCATGGGGAGAGCATTGAAACTCCATGCTGAAGCACTGTATGCTGGGAATCAAACCCAGAACCTTTTGGTGCAAGGGCTTTACTAAAAATCTAAGTTCAAATTCCTCCCTGATTTAAATACTAAAAAGCCTGCACCTCGCTTAACAATCATACAATGATTCAAAATAGTATATTTAGCTATTTTTTTCATGTTTGTTGCAGACTAATATGGTTTGTTAGTACCTTCCTAGCTCAAATGAATCACATTTTAAATAACAAATGCTTTAAAAATCTAAACAAGCAAGCCTAATGTAAGACTCAATCATTTACATTTTTGCACATTTTACCAGTGCATTGCTCAATTTTAAAAGTAAAATATTTTTTTTTTCTTTCCCATACCTGCCCTTATAATTGCCTGGCATTGGGACTTGTTAACCTTGAAACTTTGTTAAGTCTGTACAACTATTGATACATTAACAAGAGAATATGGGTGACTGCCCATAAAAATGAATCACAAAAGACCAACCACAAGTGTATCTAAAAAACCATAACAGATGACACAAAAAGGTGAAAAAATACACATTTTGTCTAGTGCTTCGAAAAAGGACATGATGTGGAATCTAATCTAATCTCAAACACCAACACCTCATCCAATGTTACAGAAGGAGTGTTGAATTTATGTTTTTGAAACCCATTGCTTATGTTTCTGGTCTATAAAGGTTTATTTTCAGAAACATTACTGACAACATATGTGTTGCTGTACCTGACTTCATTGCTTGACATCATATGCTTCATGAATCATTATTCAGCAGGTGGGATTTTGTTTTATGACTGAAATGGGCCACTTCGTCACAGTTTACTGCAGGTAATCTAAATGTTTTCTTTCTGTTTGTTTAGTGTTTGAAGGTTGTGTTGAAAGCTGCAGAGTAAAATTTGGAAGCAAACTTCCAGGAAACATTGTTTTTAGAAAGCTTTTATGATATCTCTATTCTTTTCTGCAGTGCATGTGTTTTTGCCAGCTAAACTTTCTAATCTAACAGTTTTACTTCTGCAAATATTATTAAAAGTTTATATTATTAAAAGGTTATTCTATTGCTGCATTTACCTACATAAACGTTTATACTAAATCAGATTTCGATCTGAGGGCAAAGTCTTGATATTTTATGTGAATGTGCATGCATCATTAAGAACATTCAAATGAGCATGAATCGAAACATGAAGAAAAAAAATAATATTTTGTGGAGAATTTCTCTGTAATATGTGTATATCATTTGTACTGGGATAAGAGTGTCAGCTTCTGTTTAAAGTTCCTTTTTCATCAATGGATGTATACAGTATTCTGCAAACCTAATGACATAGTTGCCCAAAGTGGTAAACTAATTATTAGCTGTAATGAAACCTACTCTAAATATTTAACATGCCGAGTGTTAGTAAATCTGTTGTATTGCAGAGAGCATCTGCATTGCAAATAATTAAAAAGCCCTGTTTTGGAGTCATTGTTCGAATATTTGCATAGTACTTACAGTGATTATTTAGCTGTGATGGGTGTTTAACATTTATGGCATCTTCAATATGCTCATGTCTATACCCGATAGTTTGAAGAGAATTCACTTAAATAATGTGAGGAACCGCTGTACCGGAAGGCTATTTATTTAAAACTTTTTATTTTCTGTATTTTAAATAAAATGAAAACCAGAAAAACTGGGTTGAGGTGTTAAAATGCATATTTGGGGGTAAGGAGGCAAGGAGGGATTTCTACAAACTTTCCATAAAGAATTATTAAAGGTGTTTGCTTCCTAATAATCTGATCATTTTGAACAAAGACAGGTTTTATTTGACATACGTACACAGTGAACTGTTGTCATCACATCCACCAATGTATTTACGAGGATCAAGACATACTGCTAGCCTCTATTTTTACTAAACACCACACAGGACAACGCTTACAATAAAAACACTTCTTGACCTTTGGTATAAAGTTTCCACTGTACTCCAAAGTGGAATAGCTTTTATTTGTGGGTGCTGAGTCTTTGTTTTTTACCACAACGCTTCCTCAAAGTCTCCCTTTGTACCTTTGAAGACAGACTGAAGGTCTTACATCCAGAGTAGACTGAGAATGAAAGGATGAACTCTGGAAAGAACTTGAAAAATGTCAATTTTTTTCTTCTGCTTGGGGCACTTAACAACCCATTACATGCTCACTTACTGCAAATGACATCGTGCTACCCTCATGTGGTTCACTGGAACAGAACCGAGTACACAAGTGGCAGGTCAGCGCTTCACCTGAGGCTCTCTGCCATCTCAGATGACCTTCAGAACCTCAACACCAGCATGCCATTGACCAGACAAGGTGCAGCGAAGAGAAAACGCCTTGCTATTTAAGGTGTCTCAGACTTGTTGACTGTGCACTGAAGGTCCAGTGGCAGAGGTCTTTTTAATAAGGTTTAAAGGTCAGTAGACTGGTGTTTTGATTGTGTTTTGCCAATGTGTTCCTGGGAGTTAATGGTTTATCCGAGCTTCAAGGTGCTAAGTGAACCAGATCCAGCTTGGTTTTGCTTTGCTCCATCAGAAACATTTCAGCTGTGATTTTACAGATACCGGATTTAATCCTTTTAATTTGTTTGAAAATAATTTTAACCTCATGGAAAATCTCTACCAAAACAGTTTTTTGTTCTTTTTAATTTCACACAAGAACACACTCTTTAAATCATCATTAGACACAAACCTAAGAGACTGTCTTTCTGTCCTTGTGGCAAAAATATCCCACATATCCTCAGAGTTAGAACTGTATAAAGACTTTTTAAGGTTAAAGCACATTTTACAGACCAATTTTTTTTTTAAATATTATGCAACTGAAATCTTAACTAGCTGTTTAAAAGTAAGATCAGATTTCTCTGTGAAACATTAGCACCAGCTACACTTATCACCTAGACTCTATCTTGTGTTCTAAAGTGTTCCTACTTCTCATACAGTAGTTCAGATTACTGATCTGCTCACTTGTTGTGGCTGATATTTTCTGCCTCAGTGACCACATTCACATAGCCCCACCTAATTTTAGTAGTTAAGGGGATTTTTTTTGTATTCTAGAACAATATATGAAGTTGCTGAAATCAGATTTTAAATTCTTTCACTTCCTAGTTTGCATCATTTTCATTCATTAAACCTGCAGAATTGCCTAAAAACAGCAGATTTGCTGCATTGCTTCTTACCGTGTTGCACAAGGAAATGAAGAGCTGGCTGCAGGACTTTCTGTCCTTGGTTGCAGAGCTTCTCTGAACAGTCACCTGCAGGAATGAGCCGTCTCACACGTCACAGCAAAAACTGAAGATTAACACCTCCCTTCAACATCACATGATGTTTGTTGGGCAGGTGTCAGTCAGAGTGGGTAAGGATAAATGTTAGCCTTCAAGATACTGTTATGGGTCTGTGTGCATGCAGGCTGGTCATATCAAAAGATTTGTTATATGACATCTTAAGAACATCTATTTTATTGACCACATCTACTCCAATTAATACACATAATATTTAGACATTAGGGTCGACTTTGTTGAAATAGTTTGAACCTAATGATTTGTTTTCTATACTGTTTATGCAATTGTTACTTTATTTGAAAACCATCACACTGGTCAATTTTCCCAAGGTAATTACAAGAATAATGCACAGGATGGGCTTTTTTTTTTATTCTTTGTGTTGAATTAGTTACATCAGATAACTTGATCAACACTTCGCTTCGCCTTTTGTCCCTTTCCTTCAGAGTATTCTGGTATTCCCTGCTTGAAACTCCATAGAGAGGTCAGCAAAGATAACTGCTCACTTACCTTTAGACTGTGCTGCAAAGAAACTCTGCTTATTGTCTGAAACATAAAGCCTCACTGCAGTTTCAAGACTAGAGATAAGCACATTTTCTGCTGCTACAGGAAGAGACTTAGACTTAGACAACATTTATCATCATTTTGTATACACAGGGTGTATACAACACGTAATTTCTTTTTGCACAGCTCTCATGACTGTTCCATTTTCTGAAAGTGCAGCAGTAATCAAATGTGAACATTGTGGGAGAAAAAAATTATATGGTCAGATTGATGCAGAGTCTGTGACATGATTTAGAGTTTTTTCAACATGCAGCTGTCTAATGGCGGTGGGGAAGAAGCTGTTTCGGAATCTGATGGACCTGCATTGAATGCTGCAAAGTTTCTTCCCAGAGGACAGCTGGGAGAACAGTCCATAGTGGGGGTGTGAGGGGTCATTGATAATGTTACAGGCTCGGGACACGCAGCAATGGGATGAAAAGTCTTTCATGGAGGGAAGAGGAGTCTCGATGATCTTCTCTGCTCTTCTCTCCACTCTCCTCACCTTCTTCCAGTCTGAGGCAGTGCAGCCTCCACACCACACAGTGAGACAGCTGGTCAGAACACTCTCTATGGTGCTTCTGTAGAAGGTCCTGAGGATGGGTGGGGGCAGGTGGGCTCGCCTCATACTCCGCAGGAAGTACATACGCTTTTGTGCCTTTTTGACCAGTGAGGTGGTGTTTACAGTCCAGGTGAGGTTGTCTGTATTGTACACCCCCAGGAATTTGGTGCTGGTGACCACCTCTACAGCTGAGCTGTTAATGAGCAGTGAAGCGTGGTTAGGACGATTCTTCCTCAAGTCAACGATGATTACCTTCATTTTCTCCACATTCAGGATCAGGTTGTGGTCTATGCACCAGTCCACCAGCTGCTCCACCTTCTCTCTGTAGTCCTGGTCATTGTTGTCTCTCTGCCCACCAATGTGGTGTGATCTGCAAACTTAACAATGGGATTGGTGGTGAACCTGGGGACGCAGTCAAGTGTCATCAGAGTGAACAGCAGGGGGTTCAGTACAAAGCCCTAAGGGGAGCTTATGCTTAGAGTGATGATATCAGAGGTGTTCTGTCCGGACTGTCTGAGGTCTGTTTGCGAGGAAGTCTAACAGCCAATTTCAGAGGGGTGTATTGAAGCCCAACCGATCCAGTTTTCAAATCAGATGCTGTGGAATGATTGTGTTGAAAGCTGAACTGAAGTCCAGGAACAGCACCCGCACATGGGTGTTCTTCTCCTCCAGATGTGCTAGGCTCAGATGAAGAGCAAAGGAGATGGTGTCTTCAGTGGAGCGGTTTTATCAGTAGGCAAACTGGAACAGGTCGAATTTTGTGGGAGACTGGAGACGACATGCTCTTTAACCAGCCTTTCGAAGCACTTCATCATGATAGGAGTAATCATGACAGGCCGGTAGTCATTGAGTGAGGTGACCTGAGGCATTTTTGGGACCGGGATGATAGTGGCAGACTTGAAGTGTGCTGGCACAATGCATTGATCCAACCAGGTGTTGAAAATGTCTCTGAGGACACCAGCTAGCTGCCCTACACACTCCTTGTATACCTGCCCAGGTATGTTATCGGTGCCTGGATTGACTCTCCCCACAGTTTTCCTCACTCCATCTATGTCAAGGTTGAGAGCCTCCTCCCCCTGGGGTGGAAGGGCTTTCGCTGCTGGAGTGCTGTTTAGAGACTCAAAAGATTAACTTATTGTGATAACAACAGAGCCACATACATATCTGATTGAAAAAGGAGAGAGTTATGGTTTCTGTTCCAAGTGTTGGACGATGACACAGGTTGTGCTTATGCTATTTTCTCATCCGTGTGATGAGCAGATAGCATAATGCATTGTCTTGAAAGAGATAGGTGCAAGTTCAAGAGTTTTTGCAGATGTTTGCCCCCTCTGGCAACTAAAATGACATCAGTCTTGTGCACAAACAGAGTAAAACGAAACCCCAACTGAACAGGTATTAAGGTATTTCCACAAGAATAATTCAACAGATTCATGTTCTGACACTCATCGGACACAGCTGAAGTCTTTATTTTGCAGGACTATTATACAAGGTTATTGCACAGGGTATTACATAGTAAATGCACATTTGATTTTGCACAAGTTATTGGCATAATAGTGTTGCATTATAGAGTCTGATGCGGGTGATTGTACTGTGGTAGCGCCCCTTTTTCCTACACCTCCTGAGGTAGCACTCCTGAGGAAGTGGAGGCTGGCCTTGCCCTTTTTGTACAGGGCATAATTATAAGTCCAGTCCAGTTTATTATTGACGTGAGCACCCAGGTATTTGAAACCCTCCACAGTTTCTATGTCCTTCCCCTGGATGTTCACGGGGGAGTGTGGTGGGGCTCTTCTCCTGAAATTGATCACCATCCCTATAGTCTTACTGTTGTTAGGACACAGGTGGTTTCTCTTACACCAGTCCACCAAGTTAATGATGACCGCCCGGGGTCTGATCTAAAGTAGACGAAAATGAAAACAGTCATTGTTAGTCTTAAAGGAAAGTACTGCCTACTAAGAAAGACTGAGCTCTGCCATTTAACAAGGTGACAAAAAAGTCTCAGCTTATTTTTATTCTTAAGCTCTGAGGGCAGAGGAGGACAAATGAAAAATCTTAAAAAGGACTTTCATAAAGATTTTAGACAAATAAAACAACTATTCTACATGTAGGAAATTAATGGTTGTTGTAGTGTGCTTACTGATCGAGTTAAAAGAGGCTAACCTGTTAGCTACTGAACAAAGCTAGCCACAGAACTACCCAGCTCTCCCCCTTTATATCATGGTCTAACAGTTGCTTTGTTCACCATAAACAGATTTTCTCATTTTTGTTGTCGATAAGTTAAAACTTCAGCCACGCTAACGCTACCAAAGCTCCGACTGGGTACATGGACTCTGCATCATGTTATTATCATTGTCTGGGCAACCACTATGTTTTACATCACATGACAACGTTCAGCCGGATGGGGGTGCGGGGGTGGTGGGGGAGTGGTTGTTTTGTAAGAGTGGTGTAGAGCTGTTCCTCCATCTTCCTCCCATAGTCCTTCTTTGCAACCCTGATCCTCCATTGGAGCTCTAGCTGCACCCTACGCCGCTCTTCTCTGTCCCCTTAGTTGAAAGCTCTTCTTTTCTGGTTCAAGAGGACTTTCAGCTCAGGGGTCACCCAGGGGTGGTTGTTAGGAAAGCTCCTTAGCCATCATGTAAGAACAGGGCTCTCCATTCAGAAGGTCATGTAGTCAGAGATAGAATCAGTCTGGTAGTTTATGTCATCACCATAAGAGCTTTGGTACATGCTCTAGTCTGTGGTTCTGAAACAGTCCCTCCATTTTTATTTATGTTGGAAAGGCAATCAAAGCACTCAATTTACATCCCTGGACTACCTCTGAAGGCTAACAGCAAGAGACTGAAGCAGGGTTGCAGTACATTGGAGATGTCTGGCAGGCAGAGAGAGCGCTAGAGCATGGGATAGTGGGTGGCTGGCCAAAGACTAGCTCTGGAGTATAACAGCAAGTGATCCGAGTTGGAGAGCAAAACCTCTTAAAGGAATTGTACACCCAAAACATGATTAGCCTTCATTTTCTACTCACCCCCATGCTGAACAACACTCTGGAGTACTTTTTTGATATCTCAAATGCATCTGGAGATCTGGGAGGCTTCTTGCTGTCTGCTGATAGTGCGCATTCAGCTCGGCAAAGAACTCATGCTCTTCCTCAACACTGAAGTCCTCAGACATTTTTCTTTCGTTGTTGCTTTCTTTGCACAGGTAAACAGCACATTTCTTCTTCTACGCTTGCATTATCGGCAGAGCAGACGCTGAATGCGCACTTTCATCTGGTTTGGTCTGCCGCGGTTTCCGTAGGCTCGTGAACTCGCAGGCGCGCGCTTTTAGGAAATCCTATACACTACTGTTTATGCTCTAAAAACATTCTAAATGACTTCGTTTCGAGTAAATTATGGACGCTACCCACTCAGGACACTTGGAATACATTGGACGAGCAGTATGGAGGAATATTGACACGTTTTTTGTGGACTTTTATGGACCTTTCTGCCTCGGGCACCATAGACCTCCATTATTTGAATGTCAGCAGACAGCAAGAAGCCTCCCAGATCTCCAGATGCATTTGAGATATCAAAAAAGTACTCCAGAGTGTTGTTCAGCATGGGGGTGAGTAGAAAATGAAGGCTAATCATGTTTTGGGTGTACTATTCATTTAAGTACATTCCTTAATACATCCTTTGGGAACCTTATTTTCTCTTTTTTCCATTTTGATTAAAAAATCACTGTCTCTGTTGTACTGCTTCACCCTCAGCCACATTGAGTACATGTTTGGTTGTTGCAACTTAAAAATACACAAAAGTTCATATTTTTTTTAGCTCCTGACAATTTTGCTCCATGTCATTGACTGATGTGGTTTTGTTCTTGCTTCACTGTTATTAGCAAAGAATTT